TCTGATAGAGTTTCATCGCTGCCACCATTATATAGCTCCATAGCTTTGATTGCATAAAAACCAAAATCTTCAACTTCTTTTGTTGACCTCCATTTGAAATTAAGATACTTATTCTCACCCCATGTACAAAGATTAAATAAAATTTTCTGTTAAAAAATTTTCCCACCAGCTTCATGTACAGAATCAATCTACATGAAAAATTAGATATTAAGTTAATAATAGAAAATAAAACAGAATAAAATGTAAAAAAAACAAAAAATAAAAAAATTAACTTACCAACAGATTGTCTCTATTTTTATATCTTATAATTTTATCCCTTCGGTTATCAATGATCTCAACTGCAGGTCTTCTTTTCTCATTTCCAATTGTATTAACCACAATATTTGCATAATGATTATGCTTATGAACAAGAAAAAAATATCTGAAAAACATACAGGATATCATTAACGCAAAAGAGGAAATCATTAATCCAGATGAAGGATATCATGAAAGCAACAGAGGAAATCTGAATATGAATACAGGAAATCATTAAAGCAAAACATAAAATCATGAATACAAATACAGGATATCATTAAGGAAATAGAAGAAATCTTTTATAAAATACAGGATATCATTAAAGCACTAGATAACCATAATAGAATAGTACATGATATCATTAAAGGAAAAGAGGAAATCATGATTACAATGCAGAAAATCAATAAAGTAATGGAGGAAGTCATTAAGACACTTTAGGATATCATTATATTAATAGAGGAAATCATAAAACAATACAAGATATCATTAAAGTAATAGATGAAATCATAAATTCAATAAAGGATATAATTAAAGCAATAGAGGAAATGTATAGGACAACAAAAGATACCAAGTCTAATTTGTCGAACTTGATTCCTGGAAATCTATCACACCACCTCTTTATGTCCATAATAACCTCTTTATTAGAAGTATGTATTGGCTCAAATGAAGACTTTAGTTTATCCAAGTTTTGCTTTGCATCCAAATAAACAGCATAATCAGAACCTAACTTCTCCTACAATATTTCACCTCGGAAGACTAGTCTTAACTTGGCAACCATCGTCCAAGGAAAGAAAGAGGGGTTGCGCTCGTAAGTCCAGAGGTTCAACTTAGAGAAAGCTCAAATTCATAATCTGCCGGATGAGATGGCCTACTCGAAGTTCCTTCGAGTTTTAAGGCATAATGGTTTCAAGTTTGATCTGATCAGGAAAAAGATTCGGACATACACAACTGTTCTGTGGGAAGCCGAATCATATACTGAGGCTAGGGGTGTACATAAACAGGACCGGACCTGAAAACTGACCCGAACCGGACCTGAAAACCGACCCGAACCGGACCTGTTGGGACCAGACCTGATTCAGACTTGTAGATTCAAGTCCGGTCCCGGTCCTTGAAATTCAGGGATTCCGGTTCCGGTCTAAAACCGGGGGTTTCACGTCCGGACCTGAAACCCGGTAAAATTGTGTTTAAAAAAAAAAAATTCAAAAATCAAAACAAAAAATCAGTTTTCCTTTCTAAACCCTAACTCCCTCATAGCCTCACTCTCTCACGAGAGTCATGACACCCAGACGGCCAGACCCAGTCACGCCTCACGCACTCAATCTCTCCCCTCAGGCGACCACCAGACACTGGCTAAGCGCCCACCAGCCACAGCCCACCAACGCGACAACCCTCCCTGCACGCCGCATCAACCAGACAGCCACCGCCGCTAGCCCCCGCTACTACCTCCTGTAAGTACTTTTTTAAAAAATGTAAATCTAATTATGTTTGGGTATAATTGTATTCGAAATATTGAATTAAGTGTGAGAATTTATATGTTTATGACCAAGAATGAGATTATAATGGTTGTTACTTTGCTCCTCACAGTATAATTTTGATTCATTTTTGGTTTTGTTGGTTTTGAATATGTTGATGATTAGTTTGCTAATTTTGATAGGTTAGGTCTTGGATTATTGTTTGTTTGGTCTAATTGGATGTTGGTTTAGCTTGCAAATCTACTTGCTGCTTACTGATTGTTAATTTCAATTGCTTAATTTTCTGTTTTTATTTTTTAGTGTATTTATTTTTTTGAATAAAATGTATTGAATTCTATTGTTTTATATGTTTAGCCATTTTAGGATCAACAAGGAACCACGGATCTTATTGTTGCAATGTAAGTTGTTCTCACATTTTTTTACAAAATGGTATGTGTTTATAATTGTTACTTAAAAATTACTTATATTTTGTATAATTATATTGTAGATGGAGAGCTCTCAATCCAAAAGGTCTGCTGCTTTTTCTCAACAAATGTCAAAGGTCTGCTGCAATGTAACTCGTCAAAATTCAAGTTGTCTTTGGACAATTTATGTCTTTCTAGTATTTGAGACTTAGACTATGTAATTATGAATTATTTGTTAATTTTACAAGTTTAGTCTATTTTTGTGTTTGAGAATTGGGACTATATAGAGTTTATGTAATTTTGTGATTGATAATTTGAGATTATGTAATTTTTAAATTATACAATAGGTCTAAAATTATCATAACAGGTCCATATGCAGGTCCAACAGGTTATTTATTAAAAAAAACGAAAAAAATACAAAACAGGTCTGTTCAAGTCCTAACCCGGACCGGACCTGATTGTTCAGGTCTGACCCAAAACTGGACCTATTGAATCAGGTCTGGTCTCTGGTCTTCAAATTCACTAATTCAGGTCCCGGTCCCAACAGGTCCGGTCTAGGCCCGGCCCGATTTTGGACCGGTGTACAGCCCTAACTGAGGCAGCTGATTTTTGTTCCCTTACAAAATCAGAAGAGCCAGCCAAGGGGGCCGAGAAAAAACAATCTTCTTAGCAAGACTCGGCCGACAAAAAGAAGGAAGGAAGCATCAAAAGAAAAGAATTCTAAATCAAAGAAAGCCAAGACGTACGAGCCTCAGTACGAGTACAACAAAGATTATTATTTAATTTTGATGGAAATCAAAGACAAGTTTGAGTTTGAGAAGCCTCAGCCTTTGAGAGGGCCGACCCAGTACAGAAACAAGAACAAGTACTGTCATTACCACAAGGATGTGGGGCATGACACGAACGATTGCAACAATTTGAAGAGGTTGTTGGATAAACTGGCCAAGAAGGGCATGCTCAACTCGTACGTCCTGAAGTCCAAGTTCACCTACTCTCGGATAGACACTAAATCCTAGAAGAAGAAAAAAAAAGAGAAAGAAAAGATGATGATGGAAACAGCGCAGACTCAAGGTTTGTGGCCGTCATATCAGGCGGCTTTGTTGCACGCAACCCTACTATGAAAGGAATCAAGCCGGATGCTTGCAATTTTGAAAATGTGATGCACACTAAAGGGGTAATGCTCGAGCCCTTTCCAAAAGTGATAGTCTGCGAGGCAGACCGAGGAAAAATATAGGTCCCTCACAATGACCCCATGGTGTTCATCTTGAAAGTTACCAATTTGAAGGTCGGATGAGTGCTAATAGACACCGGCAGCTCGTCCGACATTATCAGTCTAGGATGTTTGAAGAATATGAAGTTCCTAGAGGACACCCTAAAGGATATCTCTCACCCGTTGGTTAGGTTTGGTGGGAGTATTATTCACCCGGTCGGACAGATAGACTTTCCTGTCTGATTTGGGAAAAAGGGAGAAGGAGGGGACATGGTCATCTACTTTCCAGTTGTTCAGGAGATCACTGGCTACAATGTTATCATCGACCGCCCAACTTTGACATCGGAAAAGGCGGTAATTGTCGCTCACTTGATGCTGATGAAGTTTGAGCGGTCAGATGGGAAGATAGGTTCCATTGAAGGAAATTAGAAGATGGCCAAAGAATGTAATTTGCTGGCTGTGAAGCCGACAACACTCGGACATGTGATTGCGTCCGTGCAAATAACCGAAGAGAGGTCACTCCAAACATACCAGGTTGGCAAGAAGCACAAGTCGATTAAGAAAGAGCAAGCCCAACAGCTAATGACCGTCGGCCGGCCAGAAGAGGTGAGGCCACAGACGACCGGCGATCATACGGACATAGTGCTTGACCCGGACCAGCCTGATCGGACGATCAAAGTGGGTACTATGGCCATGCGCTTTCTTGGAGATGACTGGGTGAATCTGTTAAGAGAATTCAGAGATGTGTTTGCATTTGAAGTTCCTGAGATGCCGGGAACCAGCCTAGACTTAGCAGTTCATAAGTTGGATGTGAACCCGGCCGTAAGACCTGTTCGTCAGAAATAGAGGGATCATGGAGAAAAGAGGAATCAAGCGGCTGCAACTGAAGTTGAAAAGCTGCTGGACGCCGTTTTCATTCGGCAATGTTACCACCCTGACTGGGTGGCCATTGTAGTTCTTGTCAAGAAGTCGAATGAAACTTGGAGGATATGCGTGGATTACACCGACCTCAACAAGACATGCCCTAAGGATAGCTTTCCCTTGCCTAAAATTGACCGTCTAGTTGATTCAACGGCCGGGCATAGCCTGATGAGTTTTATGGACGCATACTCTGCATTCCATCAAATCCCTTTGTGGGAGGAAGGTCAAGAAAAAACAGCGTTTGTGATCGAGCAGGGTCTATATTGCTACAAAGTTATGTCGTTTGGCCTGAAGAACGCCTCTACAACATTTCAGATACTTGTGAATACGGTCTTCAGAGATCAGATCAGCCGGAACATGGAGGCTTATATTGATGATATGATTATTAAATCAAAGAGGCTGGCCGATAATTTGAAGGACCTCGGAAAAACATTTACTGAACTCAGGCGGCATAAGATGATGTTAAATCCAAAGAAGTGTATCTTTAGTGTTGAGTCCGGCAAATTTCTCAGATTTCTGATTGATCAGCGAGGCATTGAGGCTAACCTTGAGTAGATCCAGGCGGTCTTAGACATGAAATTGCCCAGAACTGTAAAAGAAGTTCAAAGATTTTCCAGCTGCTTAGCTGCGCTCGAATGATTTCTGTCAAGATGAGGGGATAAGTGCCGCCATTTTTTCCTGATTATCAAGTAGAGAGCAATGTTTGAGTGGACAGAGGAGGCCAAGGAAGCCTTCATACAGTTGAAAAATCACTTCCATACACTTCCTCGGCTCGTTAATCCACTCAAAGATGAGAAGCATTATATGTATTTGGCTATCTCAGATAATTCCTTGAGCGCCGTCCTGCTTACTGAAAGGGATGGCCATCAGATCCCTATGTATTTCATCAGCCATATTCTGCACATTGTCGAGCTTAAGTATCCATCTATAGAAAAGTTCGGCCTGGCATTGTTCATGGCATCAAAGAAGTTAAGGCCATACTTTCTTGCTTATTCGATTGTGGTCTACACGGACCAACAGTTAAAGAAGTTGTTCACAACATTGGAGGCCAACGATCAAATTCTTAAATGGGCCTTAGAGTTGAGAGGATTTGATATCACATTCGAACCCAGAAATGCAATCAAGGGCCAGGCCTTTGCAGACTTCTTGGTCGAAATGACACGGTCGAATTTACAGCTGACAAGGGATCAGATTTGGAAAGTTTTTGTGGATGAAAGTGTAACGGTGACCGGATGCGGCACTGGTATCGTACATCTATCTCTAGAAGGAGACAAGTTTGAGTATGCTTTAATATTTCATTTCCAAGCCTCTAACAACGAGGCCGAGTATGAAGCCCTTCTAGGCGGCCTCACAATGTGTAAGGCGGCCGGGGTAACTAAAATTGATGCCTGTTTAGACTCTCAGCTGATAGACAGCCAAGTGAATGGTGACTACGAGGCTAGGGAGCTGAAAATGATTAAGTATCTACAAATGATGAAGGATGAGGCCGAGAGCCTAGAGCATTTCACACTACAACAAGTCCCCCCATCCAAGAATCATCAGGCGGACGCCCTCTCCAAGCGGAGCATTGATTCCGAAGCCGTGCAAATAATTGACAGAAGCTCCACACGGATGGATAGAATAATCTCCTATCTTAAGGATGGAGTTCTTCCGGACGACCCAAAGGAGACTTGGCTGATGAAGAAGAAGGTGGCATGGTTTGAGATAAAAGGAGAGGACTTGTTCAAAAGATCATTTGTAAAGCCCTATCTGAAATGTGTCACGCCTAAGAGGGGGCATGAAGTGCTGGATGACCTCCATCAGGGGAATTACGGAACATAGATAGGCAGACGAGCCTTAGTAGAGAAGGTCACCCATCTGGGGTTTACTGGACAAGCATGAATTCGGATGCCATAGAAATGGTGAAAAAATGTGACAAGTGCCAGAGATTTGTAACCCTTATTCACAGCCCGACAAACAGCTTGTTGGCCATTACTAGTCCACTTTCCTTTGAAAAATGGGGCATGGACATCTTGGGGCCATATACACCAGCATCCAGACAGAGGCGGTACATGTTAGTAGTAGTTGACTACTTCACGAAGTGGGTAGAGGCCGAGGCCGTCCAAGGAAATAAATGGAAAGATGTATTCGCCTTCATCTGGAAGAACATAATCACACACTTTGGTGTGCCACAGTCAATGGTGTTCGATAGTGGACGGCAATTTGAGACCGAACAACTCAGGGACTGGCTGAGCGACCAGGGCATAACACATTGTTTTGCCTTGGTCGGACGCCCACAGACAAATGGCCTAGTTGAAGCATACAACAAATTGATTTCCAATGGCATCAAGCGGAAGCTTGAGAAAAGCGGGCAGCCTATGGGCTGATGAGTTGGTCAATGTGTTATGGTCTATTCGAACGACGACAAAGAGTTCAAGAGGGGAGACCCCATTCTTTCTGGTCTACGGTGCTGAGGCCATGCTCCCAATTGAAATGTATGATCCCACTCTACGAGTGATGCTTTATTATGAATCAGCCAATTGGGAGGCCATAAAGACTGCCCTAGACTTCCTCCCAGAAGCTAGGGGCAATGCGTCACTTAGACACAAAATTTATCGTCTAAGGATGATAAGGGCATATAATCGCAAAGTGTTAAAGAGGCCGCTTAAGATTGGAGACTTGGTCTTGAGGAAAATGGAAGCGGTGGGCCGAGCAAAAAAGGATGGCAAACTAACCCCAAATTGGGAAGGGCCTTACCTATTTCGGGGTTTTCTGTGTCCCTCGGGAGAATTACAACTCCAAGATTGGATTCCGGGCGCCTGTACCTGCAAAACAACGTAGACTCCGGTTGGGTGGAGTTCCGCCTCCGACGATCAAGTTAGAACGTGTACGGACGAAGTAAAAAGTACGGAAAGTAAAGTATCTTCTCGGATTCCGAGATCAGGAGTAAATATCTGCAATCAATGATTGCTCTGTTTTTGTGACTATTTTCGAATGCCTTTTCTTGGTGGTAATATCTTTCTATTTATAGGGTCTTGGGATGCATGCCGCCATCCTAGATTACGAAAACCTAGAAATGGTGGGCTATCTCGGGATTTGGGCCTTGAGAGCCGCCATTTTCCAATGATTGGGGGTGTCACATGTCAATAGAGGATTGGTTTATTTTGAACCTCTCTTAAGGTGACACGTGTCACCATTTTATTGGGCCACGTGGCCTTGGGGTATTTTTACCCAAAACATTTGCCCCTCACAGGTGTGATGTGGCATGCCACGTGGCACTTGTGACACTTTTCACTAGGATACTGGTTAACTGTTCACTTTCTGGGAGAATTACAGGAACACCCTTGACAATCACCATATTTCACTAGGATACTGGTGAACAGTTTTAACTATTCACTTTCTGGGAGAATTACCCTCCTATAAATAGAATTTTTTACCCTTCCCTTTTTTGGTCATTTCCAAAATTTAGAAAGTGTCAACCGTTTTTTAGAGAGAAAATGTTTGACAATCGCCTATGTATCCTTCAAGCAATTGCCTTCATTTACTGTTAGACACAGCCGGTCTACCGCCTGCATTTTTCTCAAATGGGGGATCATCTGAACTGTCTGAGTATCCGTTAAACAATTCTCATGTAGCCGGTAAAACGTCTGTGCCTTTGACAGACAGGAAAATTTATGAGAATCATCTATGGGGTTTGCAAACAATTCTCTATTTTCCAGGGGGGTACATCCAGTCAACCGTCTAAGCCTCTTGCAAGCAATTTTCTGATTTCTGCCTGCTAGTTCAGGCGGTCAACGCTTGACTACTTTTCAGGTCATCTTTGAAGTACCGTCTCTCCCCTTCTTTTCTCTTTCATATATTTCCGTTTGTGTACATATCATTCAAGAAATAGATTCACCAACAGCACACACGACACAATATAGTTTAGAGGGCAACCGATCCCCTGGTGCGACTGAGTCTAGGACTGGGGGTGCCGTCCCTGGGTGTTGGGATCACTCTTGTTCATCTCCCAATCTGACCATCTCCGTGTCTGTGTAGGACACTATGGCTAGGACTAGGTGGACGGCTGTAGATCCGGAGTATAGGGAAAGAGCACAGAAGGTGCGCCGCCTGAGGTAGAACAGGCTGAAGAAGCAAGAGGATCCCTTATGTGTGCACCCAGCACTCCTAGTGACGGGATCCTCGAATCTGAGAATGGAGACGATGAAGAAGCCGTCTCTGAATCTGGCGCTGAGGAGGCGGATGACGCTGTTTCTGAGAGAGACGGGAGTGAGTCTGCCTCTGTGTCTAGGTCTAGCTCTGAAGAGAGCAACATCTCACTATCACTGGTTGAGGGTAGTGATGCAGAGGAGAGATCTAAGTTGAATAATGAGGGGGACCCTTTCCGGATCCATGTTTTTTCCAGAGACAGGGCAAACATGGAGAAGCACCTGGAGGCCTTCACATCCAAACGTCGTCTTGGTGAGGGTTATGTCATCCGGGTGCCGCCTGAGATGGGGATCATAGCTTGGAAAGATGACCAGCCCAACGCAAATAACTATTTTGGATGCTATGAGGTGGCTTTCCTAGCCGGTCTCTGTTTCCCCATCCATGATTCAATAAAGGCTATCCTGCAAGGATATGGCCTAGGCGTGTGGCAGTTAACCCCTGGGTTAACATCCTGGGCTACATCACCGCCTGTGAGATGTAGGGTCTTCATCCCGGCTGGGAGGCCTTTGCCAACATGCATTATTTGAGCCGTAGCCCAGTTGGGTGGAGAGCATGGTATACCTTGACCACCTACCCAAAATACTTGATGACCCTAGACACAAACGTCTAAGTGGTCAAATTGGAAGAATTGATTCTATCTGGTTTCTGCTACCAAAGAGCGAGACAACTATGAACTCCGCACGTACATATGGTAGCTGGATCTGATGGGGTAGAAATGTAGATTTCCATAAGTCACAGATGAGGACTATGAGAAAATAATAGAGGCGGGGTTTTTCGATCTTACAACCACCACTCTCTCAACCGGGGAGTTAATAAGTGTACCTAAAAATTGGGTACCCAGACATGAGTTTTTAAGAGATGAGGCGTTTTTGACGCTTGTGGGTTAAGCCCCAGATTTGACATATGTACGTAGGGCATGCATCCGGCAATATTATGCCGCCTTTAGTGTTTTTAACTTGTGATTTATTGCTTGATAATTAGACGGACGGTGACTTTTGCAGAACCGCTAAAAGGATGCTTTCCCAAGATAAAACGCCTGCTCGCTCTGCAGCAAACATCCGCAAAGAGAATGCGGAGAAGAAGAGAGCCGCACTGGCGGCTAAAGGCCAAGTATAAACGCTTGTCCCCTTTTCTCCTTTTCCTTATTTTTGTATTCACAGTTTTGAACCGACTGTATGAATAATTCCTGGCTCTCTCAGGGTGGAGACAAGGCTCCTAGGTCATTCTCTAAAATGATCAAACCAAGGATTGTTGAGGAGGTTACCAGCTCCAACAAGTCCAAAAAAAAAGCTTTTGCTCAGAAAGCCCCAAAGTTTCCGCTTGATAAACACCGTCTGATTGTTGAGGGGAAGAGCATCAGAAACGTCAGTCTTGAGTTTGACCATTTATTCCAGCCGGGTGCCCCTGAGGTGGCGCAGGGTGGCCAGCCACCCGAAGCTGCAAGCGGTTATGCAGTGGTTTTAGGCAATCTGAGCCTTTAGCCTCATCCCCAAGATACTGCTGACCACTTTAACTCCTCCTTTGAGCTTAGCTGGCCCATGCAGGTCAAGTCACATTCTCATCCTTTGTCAAAAGGTTCCTCTAGTAGCCAACAATCTATTGGAGGTGCATATGTAGCTTTCTCACCATCTCTTTTTGGTGCAGATCTATCCCCTCGGTGCAGCAGTACTCTAAGGCCATGCTGAAGGCCGTCTCCAAGGAGGACAAGGAGGCCATCCTGGGGATACATGCGTTCAATGTTGACCGCATCCTGGCCATGTTGTCTAAGGTATTATAGTTATACTCAATTTCTTCCAAGTATATTGTCGGTTGCTCCTTTAACACCGTCTGCATATATACAGACAATGTTGCGAGTAGAAGGGCTAAAAAAGCCGTATGCCCGAAAGCAGGAAGAGGTAAGGTGGGCCAAAAAAGATGCGTCTGATACCACTGACATTGCTCTATATGAAATGCTAATTCATGATCTTGAGACTAAAGATGAGCTCTTGTCACAAGCGGACTCAATCAAGCAGCTCAAGGTTGCCCTCAATGAGGCTAATCTGAAGGCATTAAATCTAGAGGCAGAGCTCGACAATGCTGAGTTAGAGCTAAAAAATGCTCAGGCGGGTCTCATGTCCTAAGAGGAGACCAAGAAAGAGAACGCCACTCTCAAAGTAGACGTCGGCCGTCTACAGAAGGAGATGGTCGCCTCCCGGGGCAACTTCAAGGCCACACTAGAGGCTGAGCAGAACCGACACATTGAGGAGAATGAGCAGGACTACAAATACCGGATGAGGATTGTTTCGAGGTTTTTTGATGTCCTGCGGGAGAGTTACAATTCCGAGACTGGAACCGGACGCCTGTACCTGCAAAACAAACGGAGACTCCAAGTGATTGGAGTTCCGCCTCCAACGGTCAAGTTAGTACTTGTTTAAGGAGTAATTAATGCAGAAAGATAAAGTGTATTTCTCTAGGTGAGAGTAATTTATGAGCGTAATCCCCTTTAATGAGGATTAATGAGGGTATTTATAACCTTGGGAAGCATGCCACTCCTAGGTTTAAGTTAACCTAGGGCTGATTGGGCTTCCCTTGGAAGTTGGGCCTAGATGACCGGTTTTTCCATTAGGCATGGAGGATGCCACGTGTCGTGACAT